ATAGACCCCTCTGCAATAATTATCAGTAATAAAATTGGCAGTCTCATAAAATAAACCCCTCTTTTTCATCCAATGTTTTTACAGCGAGACTTACTCTGTGATTGACGCGCATACTCGTCATTGCTCGATTTTTGTGACGCACACAGGCGCTCTCAAACGGGGGTACTATAATTAACTGGTTAAGTCTGTTAATTGCTTTTTATTAGCATCTTTCGTATTCTTAGTTCACACAAAGAAGGTACTTAATTTAAACAAGTAGTGATATTCACTTTTATTTTGTGTAAGTTCTAAAATTTTAAAATAATTAGTCACTACTTAGCTTGTTAAAATAGAATACCTTAGTATTCCAAGCTCTCTGTTTCGAAAACCAACTAGCCCAACTCATTATTCCGGTAACTAAACTCATTACTTTAAGGAATCAATTAACCTTTTAATATAACAAAGTGTTGAGTGAAGAAAACGTTCCAATTATCTAGCTATGTCTACATTCTAATGCATTAATTTCTTAGTTTCAAAATTAATTATTGCTTTGGATAACATCCCTACAAACCGAAAATTTAAGACTCTTTCTTCACAACGACTTTTAAGAGACTAGCCAAAACAAAAACACGTTCCATAAAATTAAAGCACTCGAGTATCATAGCCAAACGATACTTTAACTTAGAAGTGAGTTTAAGCCTAGATTTCTCTAAATGTCTTACAGAATGAAATAATTGAAGCATCCACATACACAAATGAAGCTGAGTCTCTGAGTCCCCACATAAGTTTTAATGGAAGTTAGGACTAGAAAATGTTGTTGACTGACAGAGCACTTGAACTCTTATGAAAGTCTCCATCTCCTATCTTGATGGTTGGGAGTTAAGCCCATCAAAAAATATACAGCTTGCCCTGTTTACTTAAGATACTGAAAATTAAAAAGGATAAGAAAATAATTCACACGTATACCGTTCTTATCACTTGATCATTTTCGATATTACATGACTACAACTAATACGAATAACCCTGAAATAGCTTTAAATTGACATTAATTCAAACAAACCAAAACTCTTTCATTAATTGTTATGGATACTTAAAGGATGGAATGGCAGTTCTCTTTAACTCAGAGGACCTCAGAACTAGAAAACATTTAACGTAAGGGGCCTCAGAACTGGAAACAAAATCTCCCTTTGTATATACGGGGGCTGTAAATCAAATAGTGGCAACTTAACACAGAAACTCGTAGAAGAGTGGCATACGCAAATCGAATATGGGGTTGGTGAGGTGACACTGTTGCCGATGTGTAGAGTGTAGAAAACAGTCGATGTAGTTAAAAGGTTAGTTGTTGTGTGGCGTTAAAGTGAAGAGTTTCGTTTCCATCTCTAAATCATGTTTTCAAACAGTTATCAGTGGTTGTAGCTTAAAATCAAGGTTGCTCGTGGCAAAAATGCAGCAGAATGTTATCGAGGGTTACTGGAAGCCTGTGGCGAAAATATATCACCGTGTAGGACGATTGCACGATGGGCTAAAGCGTTTCGTCCGGGGCAGAATGAGATTGCGGACTTGAAATGCACAAGTCGGACCTCTATTCTTCTAGATCAGATTGACATCCTGAGCGGTCTCCTTTCCATAGACCATCGATAGACTGTCCTACAAGATCGCAAAGCAGAATCAGCTGTCCGAGCAATAGGGCTTTCATTCGATGACATCAACAATCAATATCTTTCCAATGGTTTCCAACGGCTTCCCGACATTTGGGAAAAAAAAGGTTATAAGGTTTGTTGGTGATTATATAGAAGGTATGAGCAATGCAATTGTATTTGTAAGTTCATTAAAAATTGATTCATACCTATGTTGCCCTTACTTAATTTACAGCCCTCATATATTTGGAATAATTCAGTTTTAATCGTATAAATTCCAACGAATCAAATAAAATTCAAAAAGTATCATGTGTCCATGGGTGCCGTGAGGTCATAATCTCGAATTTGTAGTCGGCGTTACTTCTGTCTAGTCTTGGTGCCACTAAAAACGTACCGTGTAAAGTGGATGTTGCACGTTAAATATATCTAGGTTTAAAGTCCACACATTGGCATTAAGTGTCTCCCATCCGGCATAGTGGTTAGCGACGCTGACTGCTATACCGTAGGGCCTGGGTTCGAATCCCGGAGAAGCATGGACGTTTGTAAATGTGCATTGCCTTTGCGGCAGGGGGGTACTATAAATATCCGTCGAGCTGCAAGTCCTCTCGAGAGGTTGGTGAAAGGGGAAGAGAGGTGGGAGGCATCTGACCAACCCCAGGGTGTTCTCTTTCAAAATTGGAGTGGAATATAGAAGTCATTCCGTCGCGAAGGGAAGGACACGATGACAACAACAACATTGGCATAAAGTAGAAGATTGGAGAGTGAGGTAGTACTCCTCCCCGTCGAGTTGAGTTTGGGGTTTTTATGGCGCAAGAGCCAGTTTTGGTTATACTGCGCCAAACATTCATAGGTCTGTGGTCTGGACGGGAAAAGAAGAAATTGGATGACAAGACGGAGGGTTGAAAATAGAGAAGGATCACTGGGGTACCCCGGGGTCGTGACACCCGTGTTTACCAAAGATAGTAAACCCCTTGGGAAAAGGAAAAGATCATTAGAGAGAGAGACAGAATACCTCGGGATTGTGACACCCGTACCCACCTAAAGCAGGTGAGCCCCCTGAGGGGACTCCTCCCCGTCACTTGATACTGGTTCAAGATTAATAGATACATCTTCAATGGCTCTCGTGTCAATCAATATCTCAAAATGGACAAATATTTACAAAATTTCAAAATAATTATTATTATAATGTGTATTGCATTAAAAACGATGTCATAAAACAATTGTTTTGTGTTGCAAGAGATAAAAATCAATCTTTAAAAAATACAACTCTTAAATTCAAGAATTTTACGTTATCCGAGAAATTTGCGTCTATATATAAAGGGGAAATATAATAATAATAAAAAAAATTCCCTGATCTTAACATAAAAATATATTGTCTAACATTTTTTAATAGCTTGTTTCCTCAGACGAATAATACACATGTTTTCCAACTAAAGTGGAAAAAAAATTACTGGTGTCAGTAATGCAGAAAGGGAGCAAGAAAAAAAGATCTGAAAATTATTCTATGAATTAAAAATAATTTTTAAAATCCAGTATTTGTATTACTTTCGAGCAATTAAATAATTTTGTGTATTTTCTATACTTAAAAAAAAAACATCAATGAAATGTTTGTTTGATAAATTCTAAGTTATTTTATGCGAAATTTTTAAATGTGTTTTTTTTTACCGAGCAATTAAATTTCTGGTGAAAAAGTGTAATAAGGCTTTATATTTTTCTACATCTTTCCATTTTCCCGCGATTATAACAAATGGAATTATAATTAAAAAATTTTAAGAGAGTACATACCAGTACATGAGCATTTTTTATATTAAATTTACCCACAAATAGACGTTTTCTAATTAAATTATTATTTTTGTAAATAATATCGATGACATTTTGTTGGCCTATGAACTTTTCCGAAAGCATTATTTTCCAAAAAAAGTCATGGAAAAATCACCAATAATTTATTAGTTATTTTTTATATTTTTAAATAAAAAATCTTATTTGAATTTTTATAACCATACATTACAATATGCATGTAAAAATTAGTAGATTTACAAAAAAAAATTATTATTGATTGGTTGTACTTTAACATCGATCTATAAGGCTACATTAGAGCTATTGGTGATGGACCTCGTAATTTTGAACCACAGTCAAGTGACGAGGACGACATCTGGACCGGCACTCTTCCTCCTCGAACTACAGCACCTCGCGAACGGGAAGACTTTAAGTCTCGACAAATTTAAGGTGCATCAGCCCCTCTAAATGAGGGGTCACCAGTGGCACCAGGTTCAAACTCATGACACTCCGGCCATGAATAAATGACCATAGCTATTAGGTTACGGTGACCACATGTTATCGTTGAAGATTACAAAAAAGTGCCCGAAAATGATTTCAACTTGTAGAAAATATGATTTTCTTTTTTTGTACTTAAAAGAATTAAAAAAAAAAGATTAAAATTAATCGAAAGTTAGTCAAGAGTTATTGATTACAAAAAACAAATAAAGTCAGTAAAACAACTTTAAAACAACAAGCTTTACAAAAACAGAAATCACGCGACTTATTGAAATGTAAAATATCAATAGTTTGAAATAAAAATGTACCACGCATCGTAAATGGTAAAAGAGTAAATGCACCTAATAAAAATTATCTTTCCTAATTTCGAAGATCCTATTCCATTCTAAACAAACTGTGTACTATAACCTCGTGATTTTTTTTCCAAAACAATTCTTGAAACTTCGACAATCTATAATTTTCCAATACTAAGTTTTGTGATTATTTAAAAAAGTAAAATACGTCAGAAAAGTTTTCTAAGAAAAGAAATTATTTTCCAAAATCATGAGATAACGCTTCTCTGTAAGGGATTTATATCAGAAAACATTCCTTTGTTCCATAATGAAGGAAAGAATTTACTGAAAAATGTACGAGTAAACTTTCTGGGCATTTTCAAAAATAAATAAAATGCTGCAGAAGTTAGGGATTGAAGACACATGCAGAGCATCATTATGCTAGGAAGCCTTTAAAAAGTGAAGTTAGTATTAACGGATAGGACACAATTCTAACAACTAAGAACTATGACAGTAAAATAGTTATTAACAAACAAGTAAATTTTTAAATTTAAAAAAAAATTAAGTCAATTCCTACTTAGGTCAACAAAGAAAAATTTTATTTTAGTTACTTTTTATTAAATAGTTGCAATTACCATAATTATGTATATACATATGGCAGATTCATAACATTAAGTGACAAAATAGAAAGCGATTTTCCTTGCAAATTTTCTCATTTCCTCTGTACATATAGTGTTGGACTAATTTTTGTTTGTTTGTTACTATTTATTCATTAATTAAACTTAATTATTCTAATAAAATAGTATAATAAAAAAAATCACATTCTCGGAAACTAGGTCATCCCTGGTGGGATTTGAACCCATGACCTCTGAATTAGTGCTCCAACGTGCTTTCCATTGCGCTTCAGGGACGCAACGATCGATATTCCTTTCTGTATATGCTGTTGAACTACTACTTTTGTTACTATTTATTCATTTTTTAATTTAATTAATGAATTAATATTTGAAAAAACTGTATTAACATCAAGTGTCCGCCACTACAACTTTAAAAAAATGTATATAAACTTGAATGGGTGAATAGAAAGTATTTTATTATAACGATAGAAAATTTGAACAAGATATATAAATATATATATAAGGAGAGAGTGAACGAAGAGTAGGAATTGAAAAATAGTAATAAAATAAAGAATTTTTGTATTATCATTTGAGCTACCTATTTTAGAATAATGCACTATATAATGCATTTTTATACAATTATGCATTTTGCTACTCATAAATGTGCATGTTTTTAATGAACAGAATACTGTATTTTCATTTTTTTTATGTCTTAAAGAATAGAGGAATTTAATATAAATACAGGATTTGGTACAGTGTTTTTATGTTTAAAAATGAAGTATATTAATTTACAGTTTAAAAATTCTCAAATAAATTTATTGAAACATTTTTAAAAAGATTAAATTAACGCATTTTAGAATTTTTTTTATCTAATACAGATTTAAAATATTTTCCATTATTTGCACCAAACGATTATTATATTAAAAATCTGAAAAAGAGTAAAGTAATGTGATATTATGCTATATTATATTTTAAATATATTTACAGTTTTTACTTGATTTTGAAATATTTTGTATGGAATAATGTAAATTTGTATTTAAAAAATAATATGTTTAATCTATTTTATTTAAATTTAAAGTATTATGAATTTTTATATTATCGTATTATTCAAAGACTATCACTAATATCAGTAGAAAATTCTATGAATTCAGAAAATTTGATGATCTCTGAGATTTTTCTTGTACATTATTTTTATTTGAAAGAAGCATCAGAAATATTTTTAATTATTATCAATTTTTTGGTGATTTTAAAATATCTTTTTTTACCTCTGATTTAATGAATTAAATGTTGGAAGCTCGCTTGAGAGAAAGATGTTTTAAATTAGTTGTTATTCAGATTGAACGAAATACCTACTCTAATAGTGTAATAAATTACTTGTAGTGTAATTAATCAAATATTACTTGGAATGTGTTTATCTTCAGTCTTCTTCTTTTTTCATTGTTTGTAAATAAAATGTGTTTATTTTGACACTTTTTACATGCGAGCTTTGTGTCGTAATCCAAATTTAGTTTCAAATCAAAATTACAGAGCAAAAAATTCCATCGAAATATAATAATACAATTTAAGAACTTCATGTGTACAAAAATGTTGTTAATTTAATGTATCCATATTTACATTTTCATACTAAAGCTGCTGAGAAAATTGAATTCGAATAGTGGTTAAGATATGAACCATTTTTCGTATTAATTATAAATATTATTATATCCGATTTTTACCATGTGTATGTAAGTAAATTTGGAGTTGAGTTGAGTTGAGTTTGGTGTTTTATGGCAAAAGAGCCAGTTTTGGCTATACTGCGTCAAACATTCATAGGTCTGTGGTCTGGACGGGAAAAGAAGAAATTGGATGACAAGATGGAGGGTCGAAAATAGAGAAGGATCACTAGGGTACCCCGGGGCTGTGACGCCCGTGTTTAACAAAGATAGTAAACCCCTTGGGAAAAGGAAAAGATCACTAGGGTACCTCGGGATTGTGACACCCGTACCCACGTAAAGAAGGTGAGCCCCTGAGGGGAAGTAATTTGGAAAAAGTGTACAAAATTAGAACAACTGTTTAAATAAAAAAATAAAGTTAATGCAAAACCTTGAAGTATTTATTTCTAAATTGTTTTAAATTTGAAATTCGTTGAATAGTAAAATTAGAATTCGTTTGAAAATATTTTTCAAGATATCTTAATTTGATATTAATGTATTAAAAAGAACAACTTTTGGTTGTGAACAATGTGCAAAGAATTATTTTTAAATATCATATTTTTTAATAATTCATTTGAGGAAAAACAAAATCGAATATTTTTCGAAAAAACTTATTTTGCGTTAAACGCGCTTTTATATAAACTGCAAATCAAAAAGAATAATTATCCCACTTATATAAGGCTTTAAAAGCCATTTAATTCTATTTTTGTTATAAAACTTTTATTATTTTATCAATTACAGTATATATAAAATTTAATCTTTTTCACTTAAAAATATGAATACTTATTTTGTTTCGAAATATCGGGGAAAATCAGAAAACTAGAAGAATAAATGAAATTGGAGAAAGATATTTTTAAAGGATATTACTCATAATATTTGAATTAAAAATGATGAATGGTTTGGGGTCGATCTGGTATTTTGCAGTTGAAAGTATGCATGGCACATGCTGAGTCAAATTATCAATTTCTTTCTTAATATAATTTTTTTGCATGTAGTTGGAACATTAGGATGTGTCAATTCAGAAAGTATAAAAAGAATTCAAGTGAAATATTTTTTTTCACTAAAATTTTTCAAAGAAACCTAGTCCACCTAAATAAAGCTAAAAATTTCACAAAAAAAGAGAAGATAGGATAAAGTCAGGCGTGCTGGTCAGCTGGGGTAGATGCCGAATTTAAGGAAACAATTCAATTTCATGCTATTTTAAATATTTGCGGCAGGGGTCGGCAGCTTATGGCAAGCGTGCCATATGTGTCACGCTAACAATTCTTAGGGACACTCTGTACTACTTTACAAATTTGTCAATTTTTGAGTGGATGGAAGTTGATAAATTTGTAATAGACCTCTCTTATTTGACAAACATTTTCAGTGTTACGAGATATTTACTAAATTAGGGAAAAAAACCGAATGAGTAAGGGAATATTATATATTGTGCAATGTTCAGCTACTCGAGGGCTTTTGGCGAAGGACCTAGTAATTAAGTGGTCTAGTGACGAAGACGACCACCGAGTTGGAACCCCCTCCCCTTACACCACACCACGACAATGGGATTACGTTTGAGCTCTCAACAAATTTAACGTGCATCGATTCCTTATGTGGCGGGAAAAAATCTGACCAATAACTCTAAAGGTCAATTTACATCTATTTTTTAAATTATTGAATGTCATTGCTGGTGAAATTTATTTATTTGAAGAAAGAAAATTGCGTATGTATTCTGCTTTCCGCTTTTGCTTCTAGATATCTAAGAAAAAAAGTCTTTCCTCAAATGAAGAATATTTCGTGTCCGCAAAGAGATTGTTTAACAACTGAATGCTCAAAGTAATATCAAATTGAAAGTCACACCCCAGATTTTTTTATATGAAATTTTAGAGCGGCACTAGGTTCGCATTAAAGATTTTATTTATCTTTTTATTTAACTATAATTAAGAGAAATACTTATATTTTAGGTTATCTATTCTTATTAAAATAAATATGTTTAAAAATACATCATATATGTACAATTTTATAATTTCTTTAAATTTTTGTAGAAGAATCAATTATATTTAATGCTGCTTATTTTTTTTTATTTTAAGAAATATCTTTAAATGATGCAAAATTAATATATAAGAAAATTGTAAGTCTATATTACTGTCCTCAATTCTATAACCGCGGGAATCGAGAATTGTTTCAAAAATGTCCTGTGTGGCACGCTGAATCATATTGGTAGATTGTTTTGGCACGCTCCAGCTAAAGGTTTGCCAACCTCTGATCTACACATTTTGAAATGATAATAGTTCAGAAACTTTATACAAATTAATCATAATTTCATTCAAAGCAGGGCTCTTTACAGCAATCATTCATTGTGTGATACAAATAAATTGGTTAATCTATCTGCCCTTCGAAATTTTAAATTCACCAGTCTTATTTTATACCTTATATTACCTGACTTCATCGATTAATTCTGGGAGTACAAAATATATATTATTTTACCCTGCACGCATTGTAATATAACCATATTGATGTCGCATTAAGTTTTACGATATTTTTTACTGTCAACGTGACAAAAATCCCAAGTAAAGAGTACTAATTTATAAATTAATATTATATATATATATTCAGGAGAATAAATGCATTAAATACGCGCATGAATATATTTGAAAGTTTATTAAAACGCATGCCAATCCATCATAGTGTGTTCATTTTTTTTTTATTTGCCTAATAATAAATTCCTTCAATTTAAGATATTCTTATACGTAGTAGGATTCAAAAGTTCACGGATTGTGTCTATAACGTAAAGAATATTACCAGTTAAGTTGCTAAAACACATCTTTCTTCGAAATAAGACCCTTGAGCAACAGCACACTTTTGCCATTGCTAGAAAAGTTCCTCGAAACATTTATGTAATCCATTCCATATCCTTTAATTCACAGACTGCGATGCACTTTTAACTTCATCTGTAGATTGGAATCAACGACCTTGCAAGTGATGTGCAAACAATATTCTGAAGTTCCGGAGTCAAAATCAGGGGAGTAAAGAGGATGTGGCAAAACAGTTGTTTTCATTTTCACCCCGTCTTTGTTTAAAGCATGTTCTTACGTTACTCCGCAGAAAACGTTTCAATGTTTTCAGTGGTGCAGGAAGTCTGTGGACGTCCAGAGTGTTTATTGTCTTAGATACTTTCCCAGCCTTCTCTGAAACGTTGATGACACTCAAAAGCTTGCGTTCGCAGTAATGTATCACTGCCTTAAACATGCTTCAACATTTAGTTTGTCTCCGTAGCTCTCTTTTCCAAGCCAATACAAAGTTTGATATTATTCTATGCTCAACAAAAGCAATTTCTTTCAATCGCCGACTACTTAATGCATCCACCTACAAAATACGCCACCGTAGCAAGCCACCGACCACATAATTTGGGAGAAACTATCTTAGAAAAAGGGGAAGAATGCAGTGTGACACAGAAATGTTATCGTAGTTGCTGTACTGCAAAATTTTCACATTACAGGCTCAGACCGTGAACTTTTGAATCTTACCTTGTATAACATCTTACGTATGCTAGAAAAATATTTCAATTCCTCAATCATTGTTGTTTTCTAAAATTATTTTCAGAATAAAATGAATATGTTAATAATC